TGCTGGGAAAGGTTGAAGGCAGCAGGAAAAGAAGAAGATCAAATAGGAGATGGATTGGCTCCCTAAAGGAGGAGGCACAATCAGACATCTCTCTGGCACTAGACTGCAAATGTCTGGTAACTAACACATACCAGCTTTCAAAACAAAACAAAACACCAGAAGTCATGGAAAACAAAACAAAACAAAACAAAACACAAGAAGTCATGTCACCCAACATCCAGGAAGAAAGTAGCTGTTTTGTTTTATTATCTGTAGAGAAGTGGCTACACTGTGTATATGATTTTTTAATCTTCCAGAATGGAAATGAAGATACCAAAAATGCATATAAAATACATATAAAAGTGAAGCTGCTAATTGAATACACACACCTTTTCTGAATGCTAGCTTCTTAGTAATTTAACTACATATTTTCTAGTAACCTGATAACACTAAAAGATAAAGGTTCCTCTTGACAATTAAGTCCAGTCATGTCCAACTCTAGGGGCCAGTGCTCATCCCCATTTTAAAACCAAAGAGCTGGTGTTTGTGTGTAGACACTTTCCGTGGTCATGTGGCCAACATGACTAGACGTGAAATACTGTTACCTTCCCAGTGAGGTGGTACTTCTTCTGAATGCTAGTTTCTTAGTAATTTAACTACGTATTTTCTAGTAACCTGATAACATTAAAAGGTAAAGGTTCCTCTTGACAATTAAGTCCAGTCATGTCCAACTCTAGGGGCCAGTGCTCATCCCCATTTTAAAGCCAAAGAGCCGGTGTTTGTGTGTAGACACTTTCCATGGTCACATAGCCAACAGAACACAATGAAGCACATTTAGAACTATGCCTTTGGAATTCATGTTCTCTAGGTAAGATTATAGGAGAGAAGCCTTAGCACTATGTATCATTACCATTTGCTAAGGAATTAAGCAAGAGCAATCAAAGGTAGCATTTCACAAAAACCTAAGATAAATGAATCTATAACAAACATTGGAGAAGTGTTATTTTGCTTATAAATGTTCACCTAAACATCAGTGTCACCTACAAGCTCATAACTGATTAATTACAAGTATCTCTAATGTACTCCATACAGTGTGTGTGTGATTACTGTATTTTTGAGATGCAGCAACTCCCCATACATATACTTCCTACAAGTACATCAGCCTTAATGCAGGAGACATGATTTCTGCTCAACAGTTACAACACATTTATAATCTGTAGACACGACTAACTACAGTGGTGGAATGGATTATCCAGTTTTCAATGCATTGCAATGGGATTTTTACTTTCACTTGATGACGATTTCATTCTACAGCGATTTTGCTGGAACGGATTATCCTCGTCAAGTGAGGCACCACTGTACTTGCTTTTGAACTGCTAGGTTGGCAGGAGCTCACCCCCATCGTATGGATTCGAACTGCCAACCTTTGGATCGACAGCCTGATGGCTCTGCAGCCTGTGCCAATTATAGATGCTGGTTGACCCCATCAAAAAATATAAATTAAAAAGGAATCTGATGTCCAACTGTTGATCTGCAGATGTGCACAAATGGCAACATATAGCAGTGTGACTTGTAGTGTTAGTGCTGACACATAGCCCCTTTCCATATACTGACTTACAGTGACAGGTGTTGAAAATATGTGCCAGAAAACTAACTAAATTTAAACTAGTGTGTCACAAGGAAGTATGCATGGAGCATTATCAAAAATAATAATTGGACTGCTGACCCCTGGTGGCATTCATATTTCAAATGCAGAAATTAGTTCTAGAGCAACACATTTCAGGGGATAGCCCATTTCTATTTATAAAAACATAAGAACATATAACCAAACCTAGAAAAACATATATGAGCAAATAGAAACATAAAATATAACAAAAACAAAATAAAATGGAAAACAAACAATCAAATATAAATTATAATTATTATTTTATTATTAGACATTTACCTGTATTTCACATAGCAGCTTGTGGAACAAAATGTCTGCCTCTGATCTTAATGCTAAAGATTAAATCTATGAACTAACCAGCTGAGACAGTCCTAAAATGCACCTTCCAACTAACTGGCAATAGGAGAGCACTCAACCTGTATTAACTGGCACAAGGACCGATCTACAGTACTTTGGCATCCTTTGAATGCACTTATGTCTCCTGGCTACTTTAGTAAGGCCTGCATCAGGATATCTGAGCATTGTAAACAGATGTATTCGCTTGGAATATGAAAAAAATAGTTAGGGCCGGTGAGATTATAGAAGTCTACAGCACAGACACCAGAACTAAATTAGGGCTTGAAGAACACAAGGAGATCTGACCTTATCCCTTATCTCTCCTCTCCTACCTCCAATCTAGATGCTCTCCTTCTCCTTTTGAGATTTACTGTACTTTTTAACTATTTTTTTTTCAAATGTTTGCATTTTACAGGGGGAAAAATAGAAAGAAATGATTATTTTTAAAACACCCTAAGTTAATTGCTAGCATATACGATATACTGGTGGTTAACTTACAAGTATATCTGATATTATGAATTTAACTGTGTGAAGGTGCTCTGCTGCTTTTAAACAGTCTATTAATTAAAAATAAATGAAAAAGTATATATTTGTTGCTTCTCAGCCCATGAGGGTTCTAAAATAGCAATAACTGGCATGCATGCTCTCAGCCTATTAATATTTCGGATGAAACACATTTCTGAACTCCATCTGTTAATTACAAGGAATTACATCTCACCTTCATTCATATTTCCAGGGCATCTATATGATTTTCATTAGCATTTGTAAAAGCCATTTAAAGTGCTTCGCATGATACAATTTCTCAACAATCCCTACAAAACTCCTCCATTGGGCTGTACCTCTGAGCCCTCACCTTTGGCTCGTCTGTCTAGGGCCCATGGGAGATGATTTCAACCTCTTCTGGAAGGCCATACTCTCCACACTGCCGCCTTAGACTATGCTGAGTAATCAGCTAAAAATTTAGGTTCACACCTCATATAAAAACAAAAACGTGAAGCGCAATAAACCAGTCAGCCTGGAATTCAACACCTTTTTGTGATGTTCTTGGTTCCCCAGTTTCAAGGCTTTTTCATCTGGTTTGAGCAAATCATACCATGAAACAATTTGTTTAGTTTACAGCTGTGGTCACAGACAAATCTTGTTGCCTAATAATACCTACAGAAAACAAACAGCACACACCCCAAAATCAAAGGGGTTTGTGTGTTGTTAATTAGCCACTGCAAGTTCTGCCTTTAGCCTTCCACGGGCGCAGCTAAGCATGTGTATTATTTTTCTTTCATGACCATCCAAATATTGATCTTTGTATCTTTATAGGTTCTAGTCTAGGGACATGTCTCTGATACACATCAGCTTTGCATGTCAACAGAAACATTTTGCTATCCTACTCGTGTGTATCAGTGTAGGTTGAGCACTGAGTCAGACCTGGGCAAGGGATTCGCCAGACTTACTGTGAAACAGTAGCTAGATTCTTTTTTAATCAGAATTATTCCCAGATGTATCTGTAATTGTTCCCCACATTTCTAATAAAAATATAGAGCATGGATTTCTGATAGATACTATGTTAAAAAATAAGAAAAATGAAAGAAAGGGATAGCAATAAGCCACACCCTGTTTTGGTGAGTATGAACTGCTCCATGTACAAGACCCTGTCCCCATTTTACCCGTCTCCCACGTCTCCCCGTTTGCTCGAGGATGGGATCTTTGGAGAGGTGAATGCCACCACATATGTGTTACACCCTTGCCTTCTGATCCTTCCTTGATGGCTGAAGTCAGAATGTGATGTCGGAGAAAACGGGTTCAACACCCTGGCCATGGGCTTGTGGTGTACCCCAGACTTCAGTCCTGTCTCATATGCTATTTAACATCTATATGGAAACACTGGGAGACGATGTCCAGAGTTTTGGGTCTCATACCAAGGAAGATGTTCTGTGCCTAGATCAGTGCCTGTTGTCAGTAATGGACTGGATAATGATTAACAAAATGAAAAAATGCAGATAAGGCAGAGATGCTCCTGTTCAGTCAAAATGTACCTCAGGGGACAGGGATTCAGCATATACTGAAAAGTCAGTTTTGCAGCTTGGATGTGCGCCTGGATTATGCACAATTAAAGCTGATATGTAAGTTGCACCTGCTCATTGAGATGTCTGATCTTGCCGTGCTGAAACATGCCTCACTTACAATTTGTGTCTTCAAGTCCGGGGTATCTGAAGGACCATATCATCCCATATGGGCCTGCTCAGCTTTTAAGATCTCCTGAGGAGGCCCTCTCCTCAGGATTGTTTGGTGAGGTTACAAGAGAGGTGTTTCTCAGTGGTTGTTCCCAGGCTTAAGCACGTGCGGCTCTATGAAACTAGAATAGGCTCCCTCCTCTTGCCTTCCGTCATCAGGAAGAGACCTTCCTTTTCAGGCAGGCTTTTAAGCAATAAGTGGGGATCTAAGGTTTGTTTTTAAATTTTAAATTGACATTTAATTGTGGTTTTAATACTGACAAATGTTTAAATTTTTTTGGTATACTTTTACAATGGCATTTTAAAATCTGTGATTATTGTATACAGTAGTTTTAATTGTTGTGAGCCACCTTGGGTCCCCTGTGGGGGAAAAGCTTTCCTATAACCAACAAAGCAAACAAACAAACAAACAATGGCTTCTAGCAGAAACATCTAAGGTGGTCTGATCAGAAACTCATGACAGAAGTTCAGTTTGAACATCTATACACTTGTACAGCAAATGATTTTACATCTTCTTGTGTTACCACAGTCTGTGGGAATTAAATAAATTCTGTTGTGTCAGATGTTTGTGTGAGGGAAAAAATCAAAATATGAATTATTTCTTGTCATCCAGTTTTGCTTATTGACGCCTCAGGCACCATGTATACTGTCCAGAAACATGGAACCATGGAACGTAACAACAACAACAACAACAACAACAACAACAACAACAACAACAACAACACCACACACACACACACACACACACACACACACACACACACACACACACACACACACGGAATACTCACCAATATCATTTGGAAAGGCAGCTGGATCAGATGCCCCAAGAGAAGCTTCAAATTCTTCCTGAAGTCGATAAGCTCTTTGGAGCAAAGATTCAAGCTTATGAATGAATTCAGCACTAATGACATCCTGGAAAGGAAAAAAATGCACCATGTAAATGGATTCTTTTGCTAATAGTTTGGGAAGCTAACGGTGCTCCTGAGATGTGCAAAGGTCAACAAGAAATCCTCCAGTTATGAATCCTTTCAATAATGCCACACGCAAGAAGAGGAAGATCTGGAAAAGGACATATGGCTAATAGCAACTAAGCTCTTAAGACTATGCTACCATGTTTACTTCTAGGAACTCTCTTTGGAGAAACTAGAACGTGCTATCCTAGATATATACAGACTTTAGGTCCATATGGAACTCTATGGAACTTCCATATAAACATATATATAATGGGCAGTTGGCATACACATAAGCCCCATCCTCAGCTCTCAAATTAACACATTGAGTGTGAGGGCCCTGCAGAAGAGTCTGTAGCCAAATTCAGTTGAATGTGCTTACAGAGTTTCTGTAGAGTATGCAAAGGCCTAAGTTATTTCTGGATGCAGAGAGACATTGGGAAGACCTGGCTTACATGTGTGCCTTCTATCCCACCACACATTTAGCCCTCCATGAGTTCAGGCTAACACCTGAGTAGTCACTAGAATAATGGTGGAGGGGGGGAGGGAATGATAAAGGACAATACATACTTGGAGAAAGCTCTTCTGTGTAATAACAGCTATTTTGATGGAAACCAAAATCGGTTGTGCTCTTTCTAGAAAACTCTGAAAGTACTTTGGTAAAAACTGTCATTCAAATACACTACTGTCCTTTACTCACCTCAACGTTTTCTTCTGCAATAGCATCACCAGCCCCAAGTCTGATGACACTACAGTTGGCTTCGTCTTCAACCTGCCTGTTGCGAAAGGTCAGGGCCTGCTCCCATCGCCTCAAGGCTTCTTCAAACAGCTCCATCCCTGAAACAATCACACCGCTTTTACATTTTTCAAAAACAAACACATCAAACTTCATCAAATTTTTGAATTTGCCTGTCCTGGTAGTTATGTGTCTTGGCTTTTGTGCTGAAGCTATTTGGAGCCCTTTTTACTTTCCAGGAGCATTTCTAAAACATGCCTCTTCTCTAGGTGTCAGTAGTTCACTGACGTGCACAAGAGTTATGCAAAGGGGATAAGATAGGAGTGGCCATTGATTACTTCCAGTTTAATTGTTCCATGTACTATAGAACTATTCCACGTGCTTCTAACATTCACCAGGAAAAGATTATCCAGAACCTCTGGATAATCAATGAACTACAATAACTGCTTACAGAAACAAATGCCTTTGCTACCCACAGAAATATAAAATGCTGTGCTTTGATCGTTCCTAATATCTGCCTATGGGTTAGTGAATGGAGAACACAGTTTTAGGACTGAGCTTACATGACCTATAAAAGACACTAAATACGTGTCAGTAGTTCACTGACGTGCACAAGAGCTATGCAAAGGGGATAAGATGGAGTGGCCATTGATTACTTCCAGTGTACAGTGGGGTCTTGACTTGAGAACTTAATGCGTATTGGAAGGCAGTTCTCAAGTCAAAAAGTTCGCAGGTCAAATCTGCATTTCCCATAGGAATGCATTGAGAACCATTTGATCCGTATCTGCTCTTTTCCGTCCATAGAAACTAATGGGAAGCTGCTATTCCGCCTTCGGCCACTAGAGGGAGATATTTTGTTTCTTTTTTTTCTTAGGTCAAGAAAGGTTCAGGGAAGGCAGGGAAAATACAGTCCAGGCAGTACAGTACCAGGCAGTCCGAAGACTGTCTCCCAATCCACTCTCTAAACACTGGGAGGAGTGAGGAAGCAGGCAGGCACCCTTTTCACTGGCCAACAGTTAACTGAAAGTTCAAATTTTGCACTTTCCCTGCCTCCCACGTGGGTTTTTTTCAGTTCGCAACTCAAATCTAAGTACGCAAGTCAAGTCAATATTTTCCTATGAGAACGGTTCGTAAGTCAAAATGTTCGTAACTCGGGCCATTCGTAAGTCAAGACCCCGCTGTAATTGTTCCATATACTGTAGAGCTATTCCAGATGCTTCTAACATTCACCAGGAAAAGATTATCCAGAACCTCTGGATAATCAATGAACTACAATAACTGCTTACAGAAACAAATGCCTTTGCTACCCACAGAAATATAAAATGCTGTGCTTTGATCGTTCCTAATATCTGCCTATGGGTTAGTGAATGGAGAACACAGTTTTAGGACTGAGCTTACATGACCTATAAAAGACACTAAATACTTTTGGTTACTTTCTGGTGTTAAAAACAAGGGCTATCATACTTGGGTGGGTAGCAGAAGGTGTTAGCAGTTATTGTACAATACCCTAGAATCCTTTGTTCTAAATGTTTTAAAATATTGGCAAGAAAGTAATACATTAAAGAAAGACCACTCATTTACCCATCAAGTATAGGTTTTCTGGAGTAGTTACTGGGATATTGATTAGCTTCATATCGTCTTCATCTCCTTTGTCCCAAGAATTGGAATTGGCACAAACACAGCTAGGACATGATGTGGCACTTTGAACCTGATTTTTAAAAATGTACAGGTAAGCACAAGGCACTTGTTAATTACATATCTACTGATACTGTAACTCTTTCCTTTGTCTGATTAGTTAGTCCTACCTGGAAAAAAATATCTATCATAACTTAGTAGTTTTCGTTGTTATCATAATTTAGCAGTGTTACTTGTTTTAAATAATAAAAACATAACAAAAATCACATACAATCTTAAGCACTGATTGTGGCTAGAACACACTAGATAATGGTTTTCCTGGTAAATTCCATTATAAAACCTCATCAGTGCTGCCCAGTCTCTCCCCTCTGTTTTGACACATATTTCCTCTGATACTCCCCTCATGTCTGCCTTCCATATATTTAGGCACCCATCCTCTTGTATGTGTAATGCTTATTTCCTCTTCCATGTGTCACCTCCAGTCCTTGGTCATCTATAATATACTCACCATATGTGAGGCTCACCACAAGAAAACGGTCTCCTAATTGTCCGGTTTGTGGAATTTTTGAAGAGAAATTGTCAGAACCGTCCATGAGAAGAATGAAATGCATGATAAAGCAATGTATATCAACTGCTTTAGAGTTTACTTTGCTAGCAGCTGAAGCAAAAGCATGTTGCCAGTACACACAGAAAAGCTGGTGGATGATTATTGCATTCAGTGTTTGAAAAGCCATCACATACTAGCTCTTTTAAAACATGGCAGGATAGAGATGAAATGGTCTGGCAGAAAGCATCAAGATTCCCCAGAAAGACAGTGAGGGAAAGGCATCAATTCTGAAGAAGGTTTAGTATGCCAGACTTGACATCTGTGAGTAGGTATACAGAAAGAAAGAGAAGGAAAGTACATTATGGTTGATGTGGGTTTTTCGGGCTCTTTGGCTGTGTTCTGAAGGTTGTTCTTCCTAACGTTTTGCCAGTCTCTGTGGCTGGCATGTTCAGAGGACCGCACTCTGTAGAACACGGCCAAATAGCCCGAAAAACCCACAACAACCATTAGATCCCTGCCATGAAAGCCTTCGCGAATACAAAGTACATTATCATTGTGCTTCAAAAATGTTCTGAAGGTTGTTCTTCCTAACGTTTCGCCAGTCTCTGTGGCCGGCATCTTCAGAGGACAGCACTCTGTAGAACACGGCCAAAGAGCCCGAAAAACCCACAACAACCATTAGATCCCAGCCATGAAAGCCTTCGCGTATACAAAGTACATTATCATTGTGCTTCATAACTCTCACTTACTGAGGCCAAACTCTGCGCTGAACCCGAATATTTACTGCAGAGACCTCCATTTGCATTGATGTAAGACTGAAAACCTTTTTCTTTGGCTGAACTTAGTGAAAGTGATAGGTTTTGTCTGCTGCTGGAACAACTGGAATCTGAAAATACAATTGAAACTTAAAAGTTACACAATAAATGATAGAAATTATTTACATATATAAAACAAAATGCATCTAAAATAGGTATTTTCAAACACCTGCTCTGGTCGTGCACCTTGGAATCAACAAGAAAATGTACCTTCAGCTCGCCATGTATTTTAAGTTCTGTGCTGGTTAAAGCACCAGTTTAGAAAAGGAGTAAGCCACAGTTAAGTAGAAAACGGACACACGAAAGGTGTGCATAAAATAGCCCGCTTGGCCACATGTATTAATGGAGAACTATGTTGAAGTGGAGGGAAATGATGGAATGGCTTGCACACCAAGGTGCAGCTTTGTTAATTCCCACTGTCACAAACCCTCTCTGGATTTAGATCGACAATGGAGGAACTAGCAAGCACTTAATATGAAGTATCCGGCCCAGGAATTTCAAGCTGCTAATTATTATTATTCATCAACTCCATGCACTTCATGGCAATCATAATTTGTAAAGTTATCACCATACCCAAATAGGATCTTTCTCCCTCTTTTAAGTGGTATATTATACTGTTCTGGGTGATTTTTCTTATATACCCATCTTTCTACCCAAAATGGCATCAAAGTCTATAAATTGGCACAGCAAGCCCCATGATGCAGTGATTAGACTGTGGTACTGCAGTCAAGCCTCTACTGACAACCTGAGCTTGATCCCGACGGGTTCAGGTTGAGGTTGACTGGGGGAAAATGACTTCCATCCTTCTGAGGTAGGTGATTAGACTGTGGTACTGCAGTCAAGCCTCTGCTGACAACCAGAGCTTGATCCCGATGGGTTCAGGTTGAGGCTGACTCATCCTTCCATCCTTCTGAGGTATGTAAAATGAGTACTCAACTTGATGGGGGACAAAGTGTTCCTTTTGTAATTATGTTGTAAACCACCCAGACTGCTCTAGCATTATGGGGCAGTGTGTAAATTGAAACAACAACAACAAATTTCAAAGGGTGTAGGTACTCTTCCATCCTTCTGAGGTATGTAAAATGAGTACTCAACTTGATGGGGGACAAAGTGTTCCTTGTATAATTATGTTGTAAACCACCCAGAGACTGCTCTAGCATTATGGGGCAGTATGTAAGATGAAACGACAACAATAAATTTCAAAGGGTGTAGGTACCTCCACTGCAACAAGAACAAAAAGAATCTTATGGCATCTTAAAGATTATCAAGCTTTTGGACTGTAGACCACATCTTCAGGCTACAGCCCACAAAAATGTGTGCCAATAAAACTCATTATACTTTAAGATGCCACAGTGAGTTTTCAAGCCTATAACACTCCATCCCAGTCTCAACATGATTACTTATAACTGATTCCCCCTTCAACTAATCTTCTTGCCTCCTCTAACATGTGCAGTTCACTCCTGCACATATGTACAGTTTCCAAGTTGTGTGTATAGGATTGCACTCTTAGAATAGGATCCATCCTTGCATACGTCACTTGCCTTTCTCTGATGCAGAGGTTTTCATGTGATCTAACACCAGATGGCTTGGTTCCCATGGAGAGAGTTTCCTGGATTTCTTTCCACGCTTTCTTTTGAATTGATGGGCAAGAAAAAGCACAGATATTGCACCCACCGCTGTCACTACAAACAACTTCTTCAGACCTGGCGAGATCTTAACCTAAAAAAATATATGAACAAGTAGACTGCATTAGGTGTTTTACATTATGTGTTTAGTTTTGGGATTTTTTGTGTTTAGTTTTCCGACTTATTTTATTTATTTATTTATAATATTTATATTCCACCTGTCTCCTTAAAAAAGGACCCAAGGCAGGTTACAACAATTAAAATATAGTTCCAGCTTGACGCTGTGACAAGACAGCAGCAGGACGAGAGAGCTCCATCCCCTAGGCTGAATTCCAACCTGTTTGGGACCCCCCAGGGGGTTAAAACCACCCCGAAGAGGTGGTGAAATGGGGGAGAAACTTGTTGATCACGGGGGGATGGCGGTTACTGACGTTTGATCCAGGAAACTCCCTAATTAACCAGCGGGTGGAAACAAGCAGCTGAACCAGCTTGCTTGCAGGTTGTCGGCAGCCGGCAAAAGCCAATTTAACACTGTAGTTAGCACTAGGTGAGATACAAAATCTTAACTATACTGCTCTATGATTATCCCTGGACGGAATAATTCCTTTAACAGAAATAAGTGTCTCTTAGCCCCACCACTAAATAGAACAGTGGTGGATCTGGAGAAGGGGAAAGAGATGCAAAGAGACACAAAGAAAATAAATTGGACATTAATTAAACACTTAATTATACTTCAAGGAAGGAAGTTTGGTATTACTTTCGCATTGAACTTAATAAATTTTCCTCTTAAAATTATTTTAGCCAAACAACGCTGGGAGTTAAACTGTTTGTTATGGCTATCTACATGTTGGCAAAAAGCCAGGAACATGACCTTGAATACTCAAACGTGGAACTCTGTTTTAACTTTCTTCCCCCACCCCCGAGAACTGACTAAAACATAAACAATTAACTTTGGAAAGTCTAATATAAACATTGAGTGAACAGGGCTGTCAACTCATTCAAAGAGCAACTAAAGAAGAACTATATTCAACAGGAGACAGGGAATAATGAACAAGGAAATGTGAGGGTGTTGGATGATGTATGCCAACCAAAAGAAGGGCTGGAGGAAATCAGAGGAGAAAATCTAGGTGATTTAATTCTAACCCTAGAGTGAAGGAGAATTTTAGCTGTGTTAAGGGAAGAAAATCAGCAGAATTAATTAAAAGTAGCCTGGAAGATCTATTGGAGCTAGATCAAGTGCATAAAGATATATTGGAGATAGATCAAGTACATAAAGATATATTGGATCAAGTGTATAAAATGTTTTCAGATGACACAATGGACGGCAGAATGTTTAGAGAGACAGAAACAAGAATTGGGAAAAGTCAAAAAAAGAGAAGGA